ATAGTATTTAAATGTATGCCTGAGAAACACATAACATTGGCCCTTTAAAATACAAAAATATTAAATTGTGAATATAAATTCATTACAATGGGTAATAGTTTGCATTTCTAGCCAAACATAGTATTGGTAGTGCTCTACTTAAAAGTCTTGAAGGACTTGAGGGAGAAATTAAAACTAAAACTAAAGCACACTAAGGATCTGCAGCAGAAAAAATAAAATAAAATAATCATACAAACATAAACTAAACCAGTCATGCGAAAGACTCATTGCCAGTTTTTGCAAATGATAGCAGTTGCTGCCGCCAAAAGTGGCCGAACCAGTTATCATACTTAGAGAACAATTATTATTATTATTATTATTATTTTACATAGGGCCAGGTCTATGGGGATGAATAACGAACCCATATGAGTGGGGGCTTCATAAGTGGGACCATTGCTCTCCCCAAAAAGTCTGGTCTTTATACAAAGCTTTGCATCCATTGGATGAAGGACACAAGGTTAGAAACACAGGGCCAGGTTAGTTTTAAAATACAWTTTTTAAACCTTTAATAAATGAAGTTATCATTTAAAAGGTTATCTTTATCTGATATTTGTTTGACGATCTAAAATTTGAGAGCAAAAACAGAAAGCGCTGTAATTTTTCACAACTCTATATAGTATATACACTGAATATTCAGGTTTTTTTATTAGTAGTCTACCTCAGTACTTAAAACACCCTGCTACTATAACTGTTTTTCTATCATCCTACTTTGTGTTTAATCATGTATCTGACTGTGTGACGTGTTCTCAGTATGAGCACATGATCCAAGCTCTACATTTAGTGCTCCTCCAGCAACAAACAGGTCATTAACACTTGAACCTGCCACCTGGCTTTGTAAATGCACAAAGCTTTTGCGAGCAGACTGCAGAGCCCTGGAAAAGGCATCATCTGGAAAGCAAATGAGATGAAAAGCTGTTTTTTTCCCCTCTCTCTTTTTTTTATCTCGTGAAGAAAAGAGATACAGCTGAGTCAAGAACGCACTGCCGCAAACACAAAGGGAGAACTTAGAGATACAAAATCTGAAGAGCTGAAGAGTAAATGCACTTTTGCTGCTGGAAGGAGCAAGGAAAAAAAGAGACTGGTGTCAGGAACGTGAAGAATGGATATGAAGGCTGAAAGGCACAGAGACAGCAAATAAACTAATATTTCCTGAGAYTCACAAAGAAGAAGATACTAACTGAATATTACACAAATGACAAGTCTGTTCTTTTTTCTTTTATAATAGATATATATCTAATGGAGCATGTCTTATACTTGCTTTTATTATCCAAACTCAATCTGCCTATGTGTGTGGGTTAGGACTGGGCAGAGTTAGACAATGCAATGCATTTTCTTACAGTTATAAATCAATTGCTAAAAAATATACAATAGGTTTAAGTTAACATCAAAACACCCTGCCTTACGGTTTCATTCATGCAAACACGTAAACAAAGTAACACTCAGGCGGTAACTGTACCTGCAGGGCCCTCAGCACCACCAGCTGGATCATCCCTCTGACGTTTCCTTCCTGTGACATAGATCGACGGAGCGTCTCCATGGCTGCATGATTGGAGCGCCCCAGAAGTGACTCCCCGTTTACGGCTACGAGCTGGTCATTAATGTGGAGACGCCCATCCTAAACACAAAAACTCTTTTTACTTTAAACATGAGCAAAAGTACCATTATTAAAAAAAAGGCTCATTTCCATCACAGCCTCCAAATCAATCAGGAAACTCCATCAAAGCTCATTTTGATTATTCCCAGTTTTTTTCCAATTGTTTATGCGACTGTGACACAAACAGATGCAACAGTGTCTAAGACTACGTTAACACTGCAGGTTTTAATGCTCAGTCCTGATTTTTTTATTTTTTAAAATCCAATCTTTTGGTGTGAACGTTCACATTACATTTTAAATGTGTTAAAAGTTATTGTTCGATCAGAGCCGATTAAATAATTATCTGACGTTTGTTTAGTTCTATGTTTATATCTGAACCTGCCTCTGACCAATGCTCCGGTGAAGCTTTTTATTTTTGGAACAAAGCCACGAACTGGAAATAAAGTATCGACCGAGTAACTTTAGGATCGATACGCTCCACGATTGACTCGCAGGGTTCCTACAGTTTAAAGCAAGTTAAATTTAAGATGTTTTAATGCCAAGTGAAATTAAATTTAAGACCCTTTTCATYATAAACACAAATGACAAAAAAATAAAAACTGTAGCAGCAACTCATGAATCAAAGTATTTCCGGTTGAAGTATTCAAATATTTTTCTAAAAGACCAATTGTTTTTATCCATATCTAACTGCTTTTTTGTCAAACATAGCAAAAACATTCTTAGCAGTCACTTTAATGACCCAACATTTGGAGTTTTAGGACCCACAGAGGGGTCTTACCCAATTTGCTGTAGATGAAACCTTAAAGTGCCGGTGACATCAAAATCTGTATGAAAAGTTAATGCATTTTTTTTGGAAAGACAACATTATTAACATAGTACAAAAATAATTTCACATTGCTCAGATGGACAGTTGTTGAGATATTTGCATGTAAAATAAAAGGAAGTGATGTCAAAGGGGAATGTCTGCATGTGAATTAAAAAAATGTTACCAATAGTGCTGGGCGGTATACCGTTTTGTACTGAATACCGGTTTTTATTTTTGTTATATGAATTTTTTGAATACCGGACATTCCGGTTTAAATAGCGGAACGTTTCGTCGCGGCCGCCAGTGAACTGTTGTTTCCCGGGGGACATTTTTCCTTGCTGCACCGCTATGTGCGTTAGCATGCTAATGTTTGGAGCAGCTAGTTGCAGCCGCGGGTGGCGATTCCACTGCTTATATTGACTGGGGTTTAAAAAAACATCCCGTTTTCGGCATCGCTGAAAGTAGTAAACACCTCTTCAGTGACGTGCACAGTTAGATTTAACGCGGTTAGTTAATATGGAGACGTTATGCTGATGGAGACTTAAC